TTCCACTGACATGATTGCTCCATTTTATTAATGAATGATGATGGAAGTAAATTACCTTTAATCAGTTTAAGTCACAATTACAAACTCTGATCGATTATCCAATATTTTTCGTTTCATTGTAGTGAGACATTTCGTTTAATGGTGTTAAGTTAGATCATCAGTTATTATCGTTTGAATACAGCTAGGAATGATATATTATTATTTGATTGCTATGGAAATTGAACTTGGAAACTAGTTGATGCCGATATTACTGACATCATACTTGATATTCGCAATCAATATTCAAACATTATGTGACTCAGAACGTGATGATGCAAATTCAGGAATGATGCAACTGCGTATATAGTATAGGTGAATTGCGATCTTTCAGGCAACTACAACACTTGATATTTTGATTAAACATTATATGTTAGCACACAAATTACAAGTTTCGAAATGTACAAACGTTACTACAAATTAACAACAAGTTCGTTTGATAACATTTTGTTTTCACCTTATATACTGCCTGATATCTGATGAGGTGACATCTTTCACTTTCGAGAAATTTTTTTCTTCTGCAATTATTGCTATACAACTGAGTGGTCAATTTGTTTATTGAACAAGGAGTCAGAACCTCAATAAAACTTTTAAATTTTGATCGCATAAATGAGTGCCGAGTAGTCAGTTCATTAAATAAATCTATCATTATTGTAGAATGTCTGTTAAAATGGAATTTAGGTGCCGCTACATGCTGTGAATAGGCGGAATTTTATGACATGGCATTTGTTAAGAAGTCAAGTAAACTTGCATAAAACAGTATCACGTAAGTTAGCGGAAGACGAGCGGCATTTAGAATTCACATGTATAAGCTATATAAAATGAAATGTATTCAATCATTATACTTATCAGGTGCAGCATCATAAGGAAGATATTGTATGTTTTGATAAAGTAAGTATGGATTGCCTAACCATTAAATGCGATTTATCAAAATTTGTGATTGAACCCATAGTAAACTTAAAAACGCATAAATAATAAGTCTATTGTTTGACTGTAAAATAATCACTGATTATGATCATTCGTTGTAAATATGAACAATCGGAGTTAATTGTACAGTGATCAAGTAACTTCACATTGAACAATCATACAACTTTTCTGTTTGTACACTACACTGTTGAGAAGCTTGAGACTTATAGGAATACCTAAATTATGATTCACAAATTCATCCGTCTGACAATGAGAAGCATTCTAATAAATATAGAACGATATTTTCTGGGTAAATAATGTAGTAAATATACTGAAAATATAATGTGATTTCGTTGAACTGCGTGAAATCTAATATGATGAACAAAAATTCGATAATAAGCGTAGAAGCTTTATTGTTCAGTAAATGTGTTCCATATATCATTTTATATATTTTTCGACTAAACATGCTCATAGAGCTGGCTATTTTGTTACTCAAAATTATGGATTCCTGCTACAATTTTATCAACAAGTATAGACTATATCAATCTGATAACAGATTTCGCATATCGTTGACAGTGAACTAAAGTTTGCTATTCCTTCTAGGGACAGTGATTCAACAGGTGACCGAATGTTTGTTCGTTCATTCAAGTATACTACATTGTTGAGCAGTTGAGGAATAATAGGGATACCTTAATTATGATTCACAAATTCCTCCATCAAACAGTATGTAGCATTAAATAAATAATGAACGACATTTTTTGAGTAACTAATGTAGTTTAAATACTTGAAATATGATGTGATTTCGTTGAACTTCGTGCAATTCAATATGATGATCAAAGATCGGATGTCAGGTTGAAATGCTTTCTTGTTCAAAAAGTGTGCTTCATTATTCATTTTATATATTTTTGACACAACTTGCTGATAAGGCAGACGATTTTGTAACTAAAATTTATAGATTCCTGTCGCAACTCTTTCGACGAGTACATTTATTCAGGTTCATTTTGATGTTGTTTAAATATGAGCAATTTCAAAACATGAAATATTGTTGATTATTCAATACTCTTTCGTTAACCATGGCACATTTTCAGTTTCGACATTGTTTGGACTGATAACGTAGGTTAGTATTCGTAAGTGAGACAATTCACAACAAGCACATTAGAAAGAGATTCTCAGCTATGCTGACGAATTATGAATAAAATATTTTGGACAAGTACTGTTAATACTTACATTTGAATGATTTACACTTTGATTGTAAAATTGTTGAGATTTACCAAACTTACAAGAAACTTCATTTCATTTCAGCCATTGAGACCAGAATTTGATCACAAATGGCCCCGTTTAGGAAATTATTCCTTGACAGAATTATTTTGGTAACAGCATGTAAATGTATGTTTATCCAGCTTCAAAACTCAGATTTCGAAGGCATAGAATTAAGACGTCTGAAATGTTGTAACACGTAATTCTAATGACCTCATGGAAAAATCATTCCTAACATTTTTCAGAAATATAGCACAATTTTGAAAAACACACTATGATTTCAACGCACAAATGTAATTTGCCGAGTCTTGTCTCGTTTGAGGTAGAATAAATGACGTGTTAGTATCCGTTCGTCTTGTCATGTGGAGGCAGACTTACTACTGTAAAAAAAGTGACCGAACTCATTGACTGACACACGTTAGTCATTGTAGTCTTCAGAAATTCGGACTAAAATGAACAAGTGAGAGCAACAAACCTGCTCTATTTATGCGGCAATAGTTGCGATATTCCAGCGTACTAAGATTCATTATGTTAATCACGTTGAGGTTGTATAGTAATCCAGGAGGTTTCCAGTAATGTACATCACATACATGCACTTCATTTTAAACAAATTATCAATAAAATCTAGAAGAATGTCTGCACAAACAATAAACTGAGCATGACTTGCATAATTCAACACAATATTCTTGAAAACAAATTGCCTTCATTTGTACGTCAGTTACTTTTCTTATAATGTTTGGCCGAAAGTGATCAGCTATTTTCACGTCCTATTGCTGATAGTTTTGGAAATATAATTTCGAATATCCACCTTTAAAGAATACTAGTAATTGTAGTATTTTCAATCGATATCAAAACGTAGTCGCATTGGGTCGACCGATAATTCAATTCAATTCATCCACTATCTGTATGACTTTCAAATCAACTTTATTTTCTTTGCATTTCTCATGACCGTGATCGATGATAGTTATGTGTGCTGAGTGGATTCCAACTAGAAAACTCAACAATATACTCACATTTTTTTATGCAAGAGAATACTAATATGAAAAACATGGACAGTGTGCAGTTCAAGATCCTCAAGTTGGGAGCGTCTACGGCTTCTTCAAAGTTGCTCTTGATCTATATAACAGAACAGATCTTTTGAAGTATGTGATATAAAAACATGATTCGATTTTATAAATGCGCATCATACAAAATACTGTTAGGAATTTGATGAAAAGCAGTACCAAATGCTTTATCTACTGGATTTCTCATACACATTTAGCAAAAGAAATTGATATTCATCAACACTAGTCAGATTATGTGTATAAAAAGATAAACATTTTCATAAGTTGTATTTATTCGGTGTGTAGTTTCATTATGACTGATGGTGACATGAAGGTTTTCACTTTTAATTTTTGCTATCATCAATCACTCTTGATGAAGAACGATTATTACTTTTGTGAAACATTAACCTACTGCAGAGTATCGTACTCAAGAAATCTACGCAATCAAACTAGGTTGCTTCATTACACCATCTTGTTTAATTTTCAATCAAGACGTTGAATCTGGTATTCGAATTGAACAATGGAACATGATGTGATGTCATAAATGAGCGACATACAAGATACCGTTACGAATTTGATGAAAAGCAGTAACAAATGCTTCATCTACTCAATTTCTCATACAGACTTATCATAATAAAATATAATAATAATAATTTATTCTCAAATAACTAAGTTACAAGAGTCACGCCAGTTTACAGGCTAGATCAAATTGTCACAAATGCTTTTACAATTACTGTAAAAGTTATAGCAGTTAAATTAAGTATAAGAGACAGTTTCTGATTGCATATTTACACCATATCACTGACAGAAACAGTATTATACAGCCACATTTTCAATATTAGATTAAAAATGAGGAAGGTGCACCATAAGTTCTATTGGCGATTGGCCGAGATCAGAAGTGAATTTGTTGGGAAAGGTCATATGGAACGCGCTTGATACGAGCTGTGATCCAGACAGTCATGTACATTGGGTGCATGTTCCCTAGAGTTGCCAAGGATTTCCCACCGTGAATGGGGTTCTGAAAAGGAGAAGAGAGAGAGAAAAAGGGCAGCAGTGTGGCAAGTGTATATATATAACCAAAGCACTACTTAACCTGTCATGTTGAAGTAGTCAATACAGTAGTAAGTCAAGATAACATTCATACTGACTACTTAAATTAAAGTAAATTATGGGAATATAAGAATTGTTACGGGAGAAACGAAGACATTTTGCTGATCAAAACCTTCATGTATAAATATCATTAATTTCACTGTTTTTGGGTACATTTGTTTTACTTAACTTGTGAACTTGTTTGAATTATTATTTGCGGACATATTGGACTCCCGTTTCTCTTTGTTGTTAGTTGCAGTTTTTTGCTCCAAGAGATAATAAATTAGAAGGTAATTGTAATTATTATAATTATTGTTGTTAGAACGACATTGGTCGTCTATTTGTAATAAATTATTTTGGTGGAATTTGTGATTTGGAATAAACTTTGGTATCTACTTTGGAGTTTCGTTCTTGGTATAGAAATTTGGGACCTTGAATTACCAATAGACGACAACAGTGCTTCGTAAGATCGACGAGCAAAAAACTGGACGTAACAAAAGTTCTTCTAATTTATATTTGTCATAAAGTGGATTCTTCTGGTCGTTTGGCTCCAGAAGTTCTTCTAATTTAATTTCGTCATATACTGGATTTTCGTTCGTTTGGCTCCAAAAGTTCTAATTTAAATTTGTCATAAACTGGATTTTTGGTCGTTTTGCTCCAGAGGTTCTTCAATTCAAATTTTGGTTCTTTGGTTATATTTGGATACTTTTGGACATTTTGTTATTATTGGCCGAATACCTTTGGAATAATTTCATATTTGCTTGGTAATCGATTTCTAACAAAAGCATCCAATGGAAACTAGAAACAAAAGGCTGAAGGAGCAGAACGAAATGGATGGTAAATATTCTAAAGCTGTTTGTGGTATGTCTGATGTTAATGATGATAAACTTGATGATATTAGTGTTAATAGTAAGTCTTCATCTCAGTTTAGTACTTCTAGATTTAAGTTAGATAAGGCATTAATTAAGAAGAAGAATTTGGAAAAGAGACTTGAGTTAGAAAAGCAGCTTAAAATGTTAGAGCTTCAAGAGGAAGTTGATATGGCTGAATTAGAATGTAAGCTCATAGAAAACGATGTAAAACCTCTTGATGCGTGTCCTAGCAAGAAGCCGGTTGGTGTAACAGATAAGATGGCTTTTCTAAGTATGGAAAAGAAAGAACAGGGTGAAAAGTGTAGGCATCAAGATGGATCCGAAGTGTGTGATGGTAAAAGCCTCTTAACTGCTCGAACATCAAGGAACGGTTATCTGGATTCGAGCAAACAGAGGTTAGTGAATAAGAACAAAGACGAAACAGGTTTGACTGTATGGAATAAAGCTTATGTTCGGAACCTTTCACGTAACGTAAATTATTTAACAGGACCTAGAGTTGATCCTAGGACAACAAGTGTATATAGTGACACAGCACTTCATGTTGCTGAGCAATCAGGATGTCTGCAGGCTACTATATCTAGTTCTATGGAGCATCATGATATTGAAGCGGAAGATAATAGCTGCTTAGCGCGTCCTGCTGATGTTTGTTTACGGTCAACGGATGGACGGTCGTATACTAGTCGAAGTGGTCATATCGACATTGATAGTGTTAGTGAAAGTGGTAGCGTAGCTTTGAAGCCTGCATGCCAACTATCTCGCAACTCGTCATTAACTGTGAATAGTCGGAACATCATTGTCGACAACAATAACGTCAAGGTGGAGGTGAAACCCCATGTATCTATTAATAGTGTAATTGATGTGAATAATAAACGAGATGGTAACGATAGTGGAATCATTATAGATAGTGCTGTTTCGTCGGTTGACGCTGCTAATGTAGCTTCTTTGAGTACTTCGAATCAAGACGAAATTGGATGTTTGAGAGTGGAGAACGTAGGCGTCGGTGGCAATAGCTTTAGCTATAGTGATGGCAGTACTGAGAATGCTAACATTCGGTACCCTAGGTGCAATGAGGAGTCATCTAGGTTTAATGGACATGCTGTTGTTTTGAATATGCAGCATGAGGAATCAAGCATGGAATTGTCCACCTGTCGCACTTCACCATCATTGACTCGTACTACAGGTATCGGGATGAGCACTACCAACAGTGATAAGATAGAAGAGGTTAAGAGCATTCCTGGTAATGAAAGTATTGTTGATCGAGTAAGGTTGGATACTGTGTATGAGTCGACTGGTTATCATGAGAAGTGTATTGCTACTTGTACAGATGCGACTACCAATGATAATAGCATTGGTAGTACGGCGGGAAATAGTGATCTATGGAAGTTAAAGGACGCTCATCGTCGTCGAAATGATCGTACGTTACGCTTGCATACTGCCACCCAAGCTAAGAAGCATAAGAAACAACATGATGCTACTAATATTAAGAAGTGTAAACTTCGTTCTCTTTCGGATGCTATGACTAGCAATAGAAGTAGTAGTCATCAGAACCTTAGTAGTGGCAGTGATAATAGAGAGAATGTTGCAGAATTTACCGACACTGTATCTAATGACAGGTATTCTAAGAGATGGAAGCAAGCGAGTTACTTGGCGCAAGTATTTTGGAAACGTTGGTCTAAGGAGTATGTTTCACTGCTGCAGCGTAGATACAAGGGGACACAGTTAGAGAGGAACATACGAGAAGGTGACTTAGTAATGATATGCTCTGACTTCTCTGAGAAAAACAAGTGGCCCTTAGGTCTAGTACAGAGAGTGATACCAAGTAAGGACAGACTAGTGAGACAGGTAGAACTAAGGACAAGAAAGGGGATCCTAGTGAGAGATATACGTAAACTGTGTCTTCTTGAAGCGGTAGATGGTAGGTAGCTACTCGGATCCCTAGGCGTACTGGTGTAAGTCCTAGGGATCACGAGATTGTTGAAATATTGCATGCTTGTTGTTGATTGCTTGTGATGCACATACTTGGATTGTTGTTATATATTTTTGTCGGTGAAAAGAACCAAGGTTCTTTTGGTCGGGAGTGTTACGGGAGAAACGAAGACATTTTGCTGATCAAAACCTTCATGTATAAATATCATTAATTTCACTGTTTTTGGGTACATTTGTTTTACTTAACTTGTGAACTTGTTTGAATTATTATTTGCGGACATATTGGACTCCCGTTTCTCTTTGTTGTTAGTTGCAGTTTTTTGCTCCAAGAGATAATAAATTAGAAGGTAATTGTAATTATTATAATTATTGTTGTTAGAACGACATTGGTCGTCTATTTGTAATAAATTATTTTGGTGGAATTTGTGATTTGGAATAAACTTTGGTATCTACTTTGGAGTTTCGTTCTTGGTATAGAAATTTGGGACCTTGAATTACCAATAGACGACAACAGTGCTTCGTAAGATCGACGAGCAAAAAACTGGACGTAACAGAATATAACGCACAGATAAAGGAGTACAGCAAAAAGAAGGTAGAGTTGTGCAGTGTCAGGTGGATAGAAGAGAAGTCGAAGTAAGAAGCTGGATTTATGTACGTTGAAATCGAAATTCTAGTTAAAAGAGTAGAGTTTGTAAAAATAAAAATTTGACGAATAAAATCTCGCACTGTCTAACTGTTTTTTTTCTTTATTATTGAATGCCAACCTCTAAGTCATACTGTAAGCGCCTGAGTAAGAATGTTGCAGGTGTCTCGACAGAATAGCGACCTCAGCATAGTTTTGGAAACATGAACCACAGAAGTAGCAAGCGTATAAGAGCAACCTCAGTGTTACTGATTAGTCGTCTCATCAATCTAAAGAGCCGAAAGCAAACAAAATGTTCTGCCCCACAAACATGGGTTGTTTGAAGTTATCGCCCATACCATCAATGTTTGCTGGTCAGTAACTCCACCCTCCCTCCTTTTGTGTTGTTAGGCTCATGTTAAATGTTTAAAAGAAGCTATTGAGTTCTACTTGGTGTTCTATGTCTCGCATCCTGTTGAGAAACACTGTTTCTGCAAGTTCCTTTCACAAACTCGTCTGGCTATTACAACTTATGAACTATTGGTTAGGCATCAATGCTATACAGTTAACAGTTATGGAGAAATAGTAAGAATTTTCAAACAAGATATAAGCATTTTGAATGTAGTGGGGAAGATGTACTTAACTAGCTAAGCAGGAGATATAAAGAGTATCGCGGTTAAAAGCGGAGCAATAGATAACACTAAGGGGCCAAGGTAAGTCGATAGCGTGTAAGTGAGAACAGTATAATTGATAATAGGCAATGTGAAACTCACACAGTTGTAAGTGTTGATAAGGTTGCGCCCAGGAGAGTAGAGTGCATTCTAATCAACCAGTTTACAGTTGAACAGTGTCGATCGACCCAGTTAGTAGAGTAACCTGTCTATTTCAAATAAAAACTAAAGAGATTTATATTCAACTAGAAAAATAAGTGCTACTTGGGAGTGTAAAAATAACTAAATAAGACGCAGCACTGAGTTCATTGTGTTTAAAGTGTATGCAGAGCTATTAATATGAAAGCAGGGTGCGAGTGAGTTCACGAGTGCAGAAGAGTCAGTGCAACTGAGAGCATCATTAAGAAGTTGAACAAACTCATGTAACCCACTTTCCATGCGTATTTTTGAGGGAAGCCTATTCCATATAAGTGCATACTTAGAGAGGAATAAGTTTTCTCAAGTTTTGGATCTATACTTCTCAAGTTTGACCGTAGATACTTTATCTCGAAGGTTATGTGTACAAGGGCCATGGATAAGGACTAAACTGCAGGAGGAATATGTGAGCTTGTGCAGGAGTTTGAATTAAAGGATCAGATTGGACTTAAGCATTCTTTTCCATAATGGATCGAGCCCGAGTTCAATACATCGGGTAGGATAGTCAATGGGTGAGCTATGATTTAGGACTTTACGAGTAAATTTCCTTTGTATTCCTTCAAGTTTCAACATATCAGACAGGCGTACGTTAGAAAATAAGAAAGAGCAGTATTCAGCAATAGGTCTTACGCATGTTTTATAGAAAATTGTTCTGGATTCTCTATGAAGGAAGTTACGAAAGATGAAACCAAGCATTCTTCTCATTCGAGAAACTTTATTGGAGATATGTTCGGAGAAGTTAAGGTTGTGCGAATAATGCACTCCAAGATCAGTTACGGATGTGAGTTTGGGCAATACATTCCTGTTGAGAATGAGATCTAATTTGGGAGCAGCGTCTCCGAAACACATCCAGCCACACTTCTCAGTATTAAGTTCAAGGTTCCATTGCTTACACCAGACATCTACAGTATTGAGTTCGTGCTGGATTGTGTGCAACAAGTTTCCGAAGTCAGATTTGCTAGTTTGATAAATCACTTTTAGGTCATCCGCATAGAGGTAGGTTTTACCAGTGTTGAAACAACTGCATATGCTGTTGATATAGATTATGAAAAGTAGTGGACCCAAAACACTGCCCTGCACAACACCACTGGTAATTGGTCGAGGTGTAGATGTATGTGAGTTGATTTTGGTAACCTGATATCTATCTGTGAGAAACGACCTAATCCATTGCAACAGGTGGCCACTAATACCGACGGACTGAAGTCTGTTGATTAAAAGACTGTGAGGTACCTTATCGAAAGCCTTTTTGATATTCAAATACAACACGATTACTAGTTGCTTTTGATCGCGTATGCTGGTAACCTCATTAAAGAAATCTAAAAGACATGTGGTGCATGACCTAGTTCTAATGAAGCCATGTTGAGAGGGGTCAATGTGACCTTCCCTGAGTAAGTGATCAGATAGTTGATCTTTTATCACTTTCTCCATCACACGTGATATAAGAGGAGTGATATTAATCGGTCTGTAGTTTTGGACTAAGTCTTTCGGTCCAGATTTATGTACTGGGACAATATGAGTCAACTTCCACGATTCGGGGTATGTACCAGACTCAAGGGATAAGGTACAAATTTTAAGCAACAGCGCTGAAAGGTTCGGTCCTGCCATTTTAAAAAGTATGGAAGGTATCTCATCCGCACCACAGCTGCCATTGGGTTTAAGGGTTTTAGTGGCGGCTTAAATATTATTAAGATCAAATTTGATGGTACAAAGATTATGCATGCTGCTACAGTGAGTGTTAGTATCAGGGGTAGGAGATGTGTTCAGATTGAGGGAGAACTATGTACTAAACAGTTCGCAAATAACAGCTTCGTCATAATAAGTCTGTCCATCATGTAGTATATAATGAATTTTTCGATCTGAGTCCTTTTTAATGCGTTTGTTAAGCAAACGACAGAGGTTTTGGGACTTACACTCAGTAGCGAGAGCATTATTTTCTTCGATTTGCTTACGCACTTCATGTTGATGTTTAACACCGTAAATTTGGTACAGGATGCTGAAGTCCTTAGATTTGCAATACGCCCGTTTTAGTTGACGTAGTTTAGCCCTAGCTTTGTAGGTGATATAAGGAGTAACTGTTTTGAAAGACGTTTTGAGTGGGATAGTCGTGTCTGGAGCATAATTGATGGTGACGTTGAATATATGTAATGCATCAGTAAGTTCAAGACAAGAAAAAAACTCAGTCCAGTCGGAGTGCTGAATTAGAAACCGAAAGCTGTCCCAGTCAGCATGTTTATAGTCTCTGTATTGAAAACGGTTTACTGTTTTAGATTTGTCACATTTAGCAAAAAACGGAAGGGTGCAGAGGACAATTTTATGGTCACTGTTGTGAAACGTTTCGCAGACAGACACAGATGTCGGGGTGACATCGTGACAAAATACCAAATCGAGGATGTTGTGGTTCCTAGTACGCAGGTGCACATGTTGTTGCCAACCGTGTGTGTCTAGGGGACCAAGTAAGCTATCAAATCGTAGTGGGCCGGAATGTGTCCGCCAGTTGATTCCAGGGAGGTTGAAGTCACCACAAATAATTTTGCAGGTGAATTTGAGACAGGCAGGCCTGGCAAACGACTCATCAATAGCAACGTCAACCGATCGACGAGTGTTTGGAGCTCGATATATGCATCCAACCAGTATTTTACATTCATGGGCGTGCACAGTCAGCGATATCGAATCAGGCACTTGATTAAGAACAGTATCATAAAACATTTCTGCTTTGATGTCTCTAGATACATAGATGAGGCAACCACCACCCTTTTTAGATCCTTGTTCACCGCGAAAGAGTTCATAAGAGTCTATTAGAAGGTATGAGTCAGGGACATTGGAGGACAACCAGCTTTCAGTATTCAGGACGGTGGAAGGATTGTTTGAATTACTAGAGAGCGTAAGTGAGTAATCTCATTGATAACAGATCAGGAATTAATTAGCATCAGTGTAACATAGGACGAATACTCATCTTTCAGGGATGCACGATGGGCATCTGGAGGGTTGTATGGTGTGTGTTCTAAAGAAGGGCTGGAAGTAGGAATATAGGCTTGATTGTAATGATCAGTTAGTTTGGGAGCGATATAGTTAGAGGGAGAAAGGTATTCAGAGACAGGCATGGTGAGAGAAACATGTGAGGTAGGAAATAATAAGTGTTGTTCGTCAGAGTTAACTGATGACTCCCAAAGAACAGATGAGGAAGTCGCTAGGGGGCATAAGGGTGGATCGTTTCGTAAGTGCATTGGATAAGGTATAGTGGAGTTAGTCAAATCTTTGGACAATGTGAAAGGTGGTTTGACAAAAGGACCAGACATAAAGGTATTACAGCCAGAAGGGGAAGACAGCGTCAAAGATCGATTGTCATCCATTACATCACAGAATGCAAAGCATGACTTGAAGGAGGGGGAAATATCGCCCTCAACAGCTGGAGGTAGAAAAACAACTCTGTTGAGGGGGTGAGCGTTAAAAAAGGGTTAGGTACATTTTTTATAGAGACTGAAGAATTGCAAAAGGAATTTCGGCTAGGGTGGTGTCTAGGAACATCAGGCGGATGCCCAAGCAGGCTAGTGTTACGAGTTATCTCAGCAACTCTAGGCATCCTAGTCTTTTTGTACGCAATCAACGGTAAAGGCTTTGGGTTGGAAACGGGGAGGCCTACGGTTAGAGTTTAGGGAGGTATTTATGGTATGAGTGTCCGTATTCTCAGGAGTCCTAGGGTTCAATTTTAGAAGTATAGTAGCGTCCCGAGTAGGAGAGATAGGGGGCAGGCATTGTTGTTAATTAGGTATGTTAAGTACTGCAGACTGACGGTTAGGGCAAGTAGCACGTCTCTTGTGGGAATTTCGAACCACTAGGTCTGTCCATTTATCTTTAGGACAATGTTTATGTATTACAAAAGTGCGATTGACCTGTGGTTTACATGTAGATGGGCTTTTGACTACGGGACAAGTTGCAGCACTTTTGTTCAGGTGACAGGTCTTCGGACTAATAGTCACTTTGGATCTCTTCTCCGTTTTAGGAGGAGTGGAGTTAGGTATAGTAGGGTTCATG